AGCCTCCCAAGTCGTAGGAGCGGTTGGGACCGATGCAGGCCATCATGTGGTCAGTCTTGTGCGCATTTTCGCTCCATGGATCTAGGTATTCACACATCATACTTGCGTGATGCAAGTAATTTTTGTTGAGTATGTCTTCCGCACAGTTCCGATCGTGCCGTCGTTGTGTTGCTAATATTTTTGTCATCCTCACGGGGATGTGCTCGGACATCTCCATTACAGCATCGGCGGCCGCGGCCGAGCTCGCCGGGAATCCCAGTGGAGTTGTCGTCCAAGTGGTCTTGAGCCCTGTTTTTCGAAAGGATGTTAGTCAACCGTTTATTTGGGTAGACATTATCAGGTACGCAGATGTGTCCGTTTGCAACTATCCGGGATGAAGTTCCCAAAAGCTTTACGTGGCAGGGTTGGCTAGCGAGCCTGCTTGAGCCTTGATGGGTTTGAAGTTAAAGTTTCCATGAGACGAGTTTCACGACGTGAGTTTGGAAAGACCTCAAAGCCCCGGCATACTTGGAATCTGAGCAGGCATCCCCCACTGCATCGGATTGTGGCCCCAATCCCACAGGAAGGGGAGGATTTGTTACAGGCTTTACGAAGCAGGCGCAGTTCCATGCCTAGTGCAACGCGTTGCCGTTACGAACTGACGGCGCGATTGAAATTTGCAAAGTCTACACTACAAAGATCCAAGCATCCAAAGGTGGGCGTGGGCATTAGCGTTACAAACTTGCACTGTCCTGTCAATTTGCAAACTCTACCACAAAAAAGAATTCAAGGGTGGACGTTGGCGTTACAAACTTACAGTGTCCTTGAAATTCGACATGCAAAGATGCAAACAATCAAGGGTGGACGTTTCAGAGTGTCAGTTAACAGTTGCGAAGTCTACCATACAAAGATACAACACATCATGGGTGGACGTTGGCGTTACAAAATTACAGTGTAAAATACAATTTTTAAAGTCTACCAGACAAAGATACAAACAATCAAGGCTGGACATTGGCGTGACAAACTTACAATGTCCTTCGAACTGTAAAGTCTACCATGCAAAGATACAAAAAACAGGGGTGGACGTTGGCGTTACAAACTTACAATGTCCTTTAAAACTGCAAAGTCTACCATACAAAGTACAACAAATCATGGGTGTACGTTGGCGTTACCGACTTATCATGTCCTTCAAAGAGCAAAGTCTGCCATACAATCAAGCGTTGACGTTGGCGTTACAAACTTACAATGTCCTTCAAACTGCAAAGTCTACCATACAGAGATACAAAAAATCAAGGGTGGACGGTGGCGTTACAAACTTGCAATGTCCTTCAATTGCAAAGTCTACCATACAAAGATACAACAAATCATGGGTGGACGTTGGCGTGACAAACTTACAATCTCCTTCAAACTGCATTGGCTACCATACAAAGCTACAAAAAAAGCACGGGTGGACGTTGGCATTACGAACTTACAATGTCCTTCAAACCGCAAAGTCTACCATACAAAGATGCAAAAAATTAAGCGTGGCGTTGCAAACCTTCAATGTCCTTCAAACTGCAGAGTCTAGCATGCAAACATACAACAAATCAAGGGTGGACGTTGGCGTTACCGACTTAAAATGTCCTTCAAACTGCAAAGTTTACGGAACAAAAATGGGTAGACGTTGGCGTTACAAACTTACAATGCCCTTTAAAGCTGCAAAGTCTACCATACAAAGATACAACAAATCATAAGTGGACGTTGTGTTACAACTTACACTGTCCTTCAAAGTGCAAAGTCTACCATACAAAGATACAACAAGTTCAAGGTGGACGTTTGCGTTACAAACTTACAATGTCCTTCAAACTGCAAAGTCTACCATACAAAGATACAAAAAAACAAGGGTGGAGATTGGCGTAACAAAAATACAATATCCTTCAAGCTGCAAAGTCTACCATACAAAGATACAAAAATTCATGGGTGGACATTGGCATTACAGTCTACCATACAAACTTACAGTGTCTTTCGAACTGCAAAGTCTACCATACAAAGATACAACGAATCACGGGTGGACGTTGGCGTTACAAACTTACGATGTTCCTCAAACTGCAAAGTCTACCATACAAGGCTACAATACAAAAACGAGGGTGGGCGTTGGCGTTACAAAAATACAAATTAGTGTCCTTCAAACTGCAAGTCTACCATACAAAGATACAACATTTCATAGGTGGACGTTGGCCTTGGAAACTTACAATGTCCTTAAAACTGCAAACTCTACCATACAATGATACAACAAATCATGGGTGGACGTTGGCGTTACCGACTTAAAATGTTCTTCAAACTGCAAAGTTTACCATACAAAGATAGGAAGAAACATGGGTAGACGTTGGCGTTACAAACTTACAATGCCCTTTAAAGCTGCAAAGTCTACCATACAAAGATACAACAAATCATAAGTGGACGTTGTGTTACAACTTACACTGTCCTTCAAAGTGCAAAGTCTACCATACAAAGATACAACAAGTTCAAGGTGGACGTTTGCGTTACAAACTTACAATGTCCTTCAAAGCGCAAAGTCTACCGTACAAAGATACAACAAGTTCAAGGTGGACGTTTGCGTTACAAACTTACAATGTCCTTCAAACTGCAAAGTCTACCATAAAAACTTTTAATGTCTGTGGAACTGCATGCATTTTCTACCATATAAAGATACAACAATTTCAAAGTCGACGTTGGCGTTACAAACTTCCAATGTCTTTCAAACTGCATGCATCTTCTACCATACAAAGATACAACAAATCAAGGTGGACGTTGGCGTTGCAAACTTACAATGTCCTTCAAACTGCAAAGTCTACCATACAAAGTACAACAAATCATGGGTGTACGTTGGCGTTACCGACTTACCATGTCCTTCAAACTGCAAAGTCTACCATACAAAGATGCAACAAATCATGGGTGAACATTGGCGTTACAAACATACAATGTCCTTCAAACTGCAAAGTCTGGCACACAAAGATACAGCAAATCATGGGTGGACGTTGGCGTTACAAACTTACAATGTCCTTCAAACTGCAAAGTCTACCATATTCTACCATACAAAGATACAACAAATCATGGATGGACGTTGGCGTTGCAAACTTACAATGTCCTTCAAACTGCAAAGTCTACCATACAAAGTACAACAAATCATGGGTGGACGTTGGCGTACAAACTTACAATGTCCTTCAAACTGCAAAGTCTTCCATGCAAAATACAACAAATCATGGGTGGACGTTGGCGTTGCAAACTTACAATGTCCTTCAAACTGCAAAGTCTACCATACAAAGTACAACAAATCATGGGTGGACGTTGGCGTTACAAACTCACAATGTCCTTCAAACTGCAAAGTCTAGCATGTAAAGATACAACAAATCATGGGTGGACGTTGACGTTACAAACTTGCAATGCCCTTCAAAGTGCAAAGTCTACGATACAAAGGTACAACAAATCATGGGTGGACTTTGGCGTTACAAACTTGCAATGCCCTTCAAACTGCAAAGTCTACCATACAAAGATACAATAAAAAACAAGGATGGGCGCAGACGTTGGCGTTACAAACTTACAACAGAAAAAGGTCTACCATATTTGCACTCCCAAACCCACATCTCTCTAGTATTGACCCGCAAATCTGACTCGGGTGAAGACGGAGCTCCATCGAAGCCAGGACATGTCCCGCGCAGAGAAGGCCACGGCTGCATATTTGCTTTTTCGGCGAGGTTCATGGCCAGGTATTCGGTGGCTTGGACCCTTGAGGGTTGAGGCAGCGTGCTGCACAGTTTCGAGACGCATGTGGAACAAACATGCCTTTGTACCTTTTACGCGTCTCCCATTTAGGGTCCCAGCTGTGGCCACTTTCAGTCGGTTGGTTGTGGAAATCTTTTTGGACAAAGCACCGGCGAACTTCCGAAACTGTCCCGCAGTCATTCAGGGCCGAGGTTCTCATAGAAGGACCCTGAGCTGTGCTGCAAAATGCTCTCCGCTTGCTAGCCCGAGGTCGCTAGCTGTCGGGTAGATGGCCGTGACGTGTAGTTACTTTTTATTAGTTTTTAGTCCCCTAGTGATAGTGAGGGGCGCAGGTTTCAAAGTGCATAGCTTTTAGATGGCCCACTGATGCTTGCGTTTTGTTGTAGGGATGCCTGCTAAACGGGTCTTGACTGCGGAATGCCTAAGTTTCAGGAACGAAGCTTCATCGAGGTGTGAATTTCGCGAGCTGCTGAGGGGTCGCTGCGTGTGTTCTCCTGGACCTAAGCCCAAGTTTAGGCATCTAAAGTGTCAGATGAGCATGGGAAGTTAGCAATGATGTAATGTCGCGAAACTGGCTGCAAATTGATGTATGTCGCCCGAATCCTGAGAACTTTCAGAGGCGCGGAAACCTCCCAGATCTGCAGCTCAGGGTAAGGGTTTAAGGGTAAGACACCCCCGGGCCCTGAATTGCAAGGCAGCTGAGCGAGATGGTCAAAGCCTTGAATGAGATCAGCCTCCAAGACGTACGCAACTTCGACGACAAGCTCAAGCTTGAGCCCAGCCATCAGAAGTTTTCTGATATAGGGTTTAGTGGGGGAGCCCAGTCAGAAGGGTTCCTGGATTTAGTGAGTTGTGGTTTCGGGCTTTCGGAACCAAATCTGCAGAATGCAAGTGTTTCACCTGGCCTTGAGGGTGTCTTCCTGAGTCCACTTAGTTCTGATGCTTCCGAACCGGATGCTTAGGATCCGTCAACGCACAAATTGCAGCCTGAAGCCGGTGCGCTGGAGCATGGCAAGCATGTGGGCCTGCTGGTTGCCTCGGTCAAGAGCAAGGACGGGTTCAAAGTTCAGCATACGTCGAGATCAAAGCTTTGACGGCGATGTTCGGAAGGGTCTCCCCTTGGGTAGGCAGCACCAAACAGGCAGAAACGCGTCGAATATTCAGATCTGTCTCAAGCGTTTGAAGCCTTTTGGAATCTGAAGCTCCATCCCCAAGACGTGCACCAGGTCAACCGCAAACTCGAGATAAAAAATGCCCCCATGCACCCAACCACCAAGCCCGAAGCCGTGGTGCAGAAGGAGCGTGCCTTGGCGAAGGTCACCACGGACTATCAGGAAGACTTCGAGAAGGGAACCAAAACCGAGCAACCTCTTGCCCGACACTTCGTCTTTCGTCGTTCAGGGTCTCGCTTGTTGTGTGTCGACTCAGGGAGCACAGCACGCAGGCCTGAATGGTTGGCACGCGATAGCCTCGTAATCTCTACGTCGTGGCCGTTTCCTACACGGCTTGTAGTTGTTTACTTGGCCCCCCGTAGCTTCCGCAGGCAATCCCTGGCAACTGTAGGATATGTATGTGACTTCCTGCGTGCCACCATCTACGCATCGGACCCCTTCGCGCTGGCGATCGCCTTCCACACCCTCCAGGAGAGAACTAGCCAGCTTCTGGACTTCCTGTTCCACTCCGAGACGTCTAGCCTTCAGACTCAGGCAGTGAAAACTGGTAAACTGCAAACCCTGACCAGCTTGTGCAAGTTGCAGGAGAAGTTCAAGATTGTGCGCGTCAAGAATAAGTTTGCAGATGCCAAGCTGAAGGATGAGGAGAGCTGCGTTGGGTTTATGATGTCAGGGGCCTTGTTTTGAGGGTGTGGGACCTGCCAGACTTGTTCATCCAGGATGTTCGCATGTCAGCACGGACATGCAGAATGCAATTGCTTTCTGACGCCACCCTCAAGTAATTAATTTTCAACCCCACCAAATCACGCCAACTTGCACGGATCACGCCCAAGCCAGAGCCTCGGAGCCAAGTTAGTTCAGAGCATTTCGCAGTCCTGGGTTGCTGTGATGAGCTTGCAACAGCTGCAGTGTGAGAACTCCTGCGAGCTGACGAGCTGAAGATGGGTGGTGCCTCAAACAGGGTCCGATGCATCGTAGTTCTACTTCTGGCCTTCATTGTCAATTTCCGAAGCCCCTCGTCGGCTGGAGGAGCGCACAAACATCCTGGTGAACCTTTGGGTGGAGGGCGGCGACATGAAGCAGATCGGTGAAGTGCAGTTCCTGTTGCAGGAGTACCTGACAGCTACTTGGTCTTGAGGCCCTAAACCCTATAAACTGGGTATTGAGGTGGTGTTAGTAAGTTTAGGATGTCAATTGGCCTGATCGGTCGGGGCTTTCAAACTGGAGGTGAAGGTATCTGGTCCGTGTAACATTGAGAGTTCGAGGCTCTGGGCTGTAGTCAAGATTTGTTTAGGGATCATGCTTGGGCCTTGAAGTGCGGAGTCGACAGTTGCATATGTGGATAAACGGGTTCCATGATTCCGATCTGATTTATGCAGCCAAGCTAGATTGCGGCAGGTGCCCATTTATCCCAGTAATTCCGTATAATTTTGCAAGAGTGAAACTCTTGACGTGTCCTGGCTTTATGGATGTTCGGCAATACTGCCCAAAGGGCACATGCTCAGGACGTCATAAGAACAATACAGAACCTTCAAACCCTGAAGTCCTCTGCACTGGAATTGTTAAAACATACCGCAGTTATCTTTTGAGGCACTCAGGGTTGAGTATGCCAGCGCAAGGGCTAAACGTTAAACGCCAAATGTTAAAACCCCATAAGCTTACCCCCCAAAACTTGATAACGTTAAGCCCTAAACTCCCAAGATCACCAAGTTGACTTTAGTCTTGGACAATCGAGTCGTACCGTTGCAGACCACGAGATGTACTCAGCCCCAAAACAGGCTGCTGATGAAGCATTCAAGAGCGCAGCACACTTCCATACTGTGCTGTCAGTTCTGCTTGTTGCAACCCAATCCTTCAATGCAACACGAAAGCTTCACCCAAAGTCTTCGTCCTAAAGCTCAAAACCTTAAGCCCTGCTAGACCAAAAGCCGTCAAATACTAGCATGCCGCGTAGTCTAAACTCCTTCGAAGGGGCTCTATGTCATGGACATCGATTCCTACTTTTGGCCTTATTGAGGCGGATACAAGAAGCTTAGAATATTTGGCCTGCCGAAACCGTGCATGCAAGTAGAGCTTTCCTCTGCTGTGGCCCGCCGTGAAATCCAATTCAGACTATGCCCGATGCTGTAATGGTTGGGCAGGTCGCATAGTGTTAAGAGGGGATGAGTGCGCATTAAAGTTCTGCCAAAGACTAGCCGAGGCGAAGTCTTTGCAACACTTGTACTATGACGTGGCACGCGCAAAAGCCGCAAGTGAGCTATTCGATAAGCCCATCTTTCACTAGTCGCTCGTCACTGCTGCGCAAGAAGCCTTGAAGTTTTCTCTCGAAGGGGATGGCGACTTCTGAGAAAGTCTGTCGCAGCGGGCTTGCGAGTTTCTCAACTATTTCATCTTGTACTGCATGTTATGGCCCGCGGCAAAAGAAGAGGGCATCCTGTAGCTGTCCACACGTTGCTGTGGCACGATGTGCAGTGTTCGCAAATGGTAACAGCATGAGCGTGGTGTCTCGCTCGTGGGGAACCCTGGTGAAATGGACAGGGAAGACACCCGAGTGTTGCCTCAAGAGGATTACCCTGCAGCAAGCTGCTCAGAGGCCATCTGACGACAGTATCTGGGCCCAAATGACTTGTGACAAGTGTGGTGTCAACGAAGAGCCCTTGGACCCCGACCGACAGAAACCTTCAAAACGGCTGGGTGCATATTTCCGGACTGTCAAGCCTGTATTCCTCACTGGCCGGCAACATCTCTCTACCAGGAGCCTTGAGCGTCCGGTCCCTAAACCCTAAACCCTCTGGAGAAAACGAGCAACTTTTCCCACCACCGCTTCATGTCTCGCCTTTGGAGTGGTCAGGAACCCAATCAAGCACTAGCTGCAGGTGTTCTAACCCTAAACCCCGAACCCTTGAGCCCTTGTAGATGGAGAAAAAACGCGACAAAGAAAAGGACCCTTGAGCCCTACGTTTGAGTGAGACCAGAGGCTCTAAATCTTGGACCCGAAATGCTGATTATCCTGCTGCTCACCGTTCTCGGCTCATGCTGAAAGTCGTTGCTTACTTCCAGTCCTGCACGAGAACAGTAGACATCTCCTGCCGCTGGCTGAGAAGAGACGTTGAGTGTTGTATGTTGCTTGTTTTGGCAGACTGCTGCAGGGTTCTGTGTCAATTGCTTCATGATTTCAGGTTGGGTCATATAATCTTGTTCAGTCCTTTTTGTTTCAATTTCTTGTTTGGCTTTTCAGGTTGCTGAGCACAATCCAGAGGACAAAACGAGCGGGTAAGAGCGCAGGCAAACATAGTAGCAATTGGAGACTTCAAGAATCATACCCAGGGAAGAATCCTTGTTTGTTGACAGTTGACAATAGTCTTGGCTTTCTGACGGATGCATGATTCGAACTAAGTTCGCCATGAGGCATGTCATCTGTCTGCACCGCTAGTCGGTGTCGTGGGAAAGGAACACTAGCTTTTGCTTGAGGCACTGGGGGGCTATCTGTTAACGTCATTGCGCTTCCCCCGGATCAAGGAACACACCTACGTCATCCTGGACACAAGCCCCACCCAAGAAAACCCCAAATAGAAGATCCAAGCTTTAAACGCACTCCTTCTTAATTCTTTAAGAACTCGAAAGAGACTCCTAAATCCCAGACTCTGGACAGCCCTTCTTCCGTGCGGACAAAAACCTTCAGCCGAGTCAGGAAGGGCCTGGTGGATGGACAGCGAGCACGAGGTTCCAGCCCCAGGTCTGAGTTGCAGGGTGTAGAGTTTTGGGTTCAGGGTTCAGGATCTATGGTTTTGGGTTAAGGGCTCTGGAGTTTGAGTTCAGGGTTTAGGGTTTTGGGTGATGGGTTCCGGGCCGTGAGGTGCTTCGTCAACCAGGCTTGCAGGTCCTTCACCTGCGCACTTGCGCACCGGTATCGCTTGAACAAACTTAAATCCTGTTGGATGCTAAGATTATTCGATAACTCTTCATGCCGACCGACCCTCCTTGAAAAAGGACCTCAGAGTTTCGAGTTTGAAAAACGCTCAGCCCGACCCCCGAATCCAGCACCCTCACAAACCCTAACCTGCAAAAAGCTCCAAACTCTAAACCGAACCTTTAAACCGGCTGCCGGAGTCAGCAAGACCACACGTTCAGGTCATGTCGCAGGACATTGCTCCCGTTCTAGGGAGCCTTTCAGACGTCGATATCAAGACGGCAGATAGGAGTTGCCTCGACGTCAACTAGGAAGTCCAGTTTGCGCCTGTCGACGCAAGGGCCTAACCCCTAAACCCCCAAATCCATAAGCCCCTAAACCCTAAATCCCTGAATCTCTGAACAGGTTCGAGCCACAGCTGCCAGCGCGTCGCGGAAGGTCGGTGTCCGTTGCTTCACCCCTTTGAGCAACGGTTTAGGGCTTATGGTAAATAACACCCACATGAAACTGTATAAAGCCCTTATCCTTAATGGCGTGATAAACCCTGGATTAAAGCCCTTACAAAAAATGAGCCCGAGTGTGCGCAGCGTTAAAGTTTGGTTTCGGTCCTTTGCAGGGTTCCTTTTAGGGTTCCAGAAGGTTCAGGGCTTTGAGGTGTTTTTTGGTTTTAAGGCTCTGGGCATGCACCTCGCGCCCTCCGTAGCGAAACCTATTGATTGGTCTCATCGGGAGAATCCCGCAGTGATACCGCAGTGCTTGGGGCACAAAGGGGCAGCTATGAATTAGAACTTGGAGCCTGGAAGTATTTTGGCTCCTGCATAATGACTCCCACCCTGGGCCCTCAACCCTAATACCATGAAGACTTCAAACCCTGTCACTCAAGTTCTCAGATCTTAAAGCCCTGAAACATGCCAAAATTTAGATCCCACAGCTCACATACCCTAAACCGTATCCCGCGGACAACTGGAGGACGATCCATTGGAGCAGATAGAAGTCGACGCGCGGAGCTGTTGAGATCTGCTATCGTCGCATTGGGATTAGGCAGGATAGAGGCTCGAGGTGTAGAGCTCATTTAGAATGATTTAGAGTGTCGGAGCTTGCATGCAGAGTTTAGGACTTGGTTTCGCAACTCTGCAACTCCCGACTCCAGTGCTCAGGAGAGAGGCCCCAAGTGTGCGGAAGACTACGAGGTGAAGCACAAGCTGAGCGAGGGCCGATTTGGTCTGGTTCATCAGGACGTGCGAAAGCGGATGAAGAAGAGGCGGCTTCGGGTTTGGGGTGCTGGGGTTTAGAAAGTATAGTCGACGAGTCGGGAAGTAGGGTCTGACGTTAGGATTCATATCATCGACATGGTGACTTCGTCTTACACTGTGATGGACACGCTCCACAGGGTAATGGGTCCCAAGGTCGACCGGTAGACCTTACGATCTTGAATATCTGAACCCCCCCCCACAACCACGGACCCTGTTTTCCAGATGCACCCTATGCGGAGGTCCGCAGTCATTTCAGCTGCAAAGTCTGGCAAGCAGAGCGAGGCCGACGCACTGCAGCTCTTGGCATCCTCGCGGTGCGCGAACATTGTCTGACCCTGCGCTCTCAAACTAGGTTTGGAGTGCTGGGGTCCCGTCATGGTCAGTAGATTAGCAATACTAGGGCTCCCGAGTCCCGAGTCCCGAGTGCCTAGTATGAAGACCCCACCAAAACCCTCGTCTAGGTTTTCGCTGTTGGTGCGCTTTCTGGAAAAAATGCAGGCACGCGATCCGTTCTTCGACTTCTCAGAGCTGGAGGCGGCAATCGAGGAGTGCTGTCAACAATCGCGTCCGGGGATGGGGACGCTGCATATTTGCAGTGGAGGCCACCCTTTCGTAAAGTTCTGGGGCCTTTCGGCGTGCCCAAGTTCCCAAGACCAGCTTTGAAGTGCCGGCTCTGGATCTGAGCGCCGCCTCCTCGCAGGAGCAGCGATTGCTGAAAGCCAGCCGCACGGTGGCTGTGCTGGATTAGCCACGATTAGCCCACCCAAAACATCACACAGAAGCGGTGCTGTGCATGGCGTCTTGAGGACGAGTTCTTCGCATAGGACGCTCTCGAGGTCGCCGAGGACGTTGTGAAAAAGCAGTCGAAGGCCCTGCCTCTGTTTGGTGAACATGGGGTCAGAAGCGTTTTGCATGGCCTGAACTGTGACATCAGATCACGAAAGCTAATCGCGGCCCGACAAGTCCCATGTGACAGAAGTGCGTTGCTTCTAGGCGAAGTCGGAGAGACGTCAGCGATTGCGGTTCATGACGCCACGGGGACGACGTCGGCATCCTACATCCTCTTTGCGTCTCTTAATGCTTTATGATTATGCCACTTGTTATATTACATGATATGAACTATATTATTCTCTCTCTACCTGCATATATGGGTGGTTGTCAAGATTCTGGTCCTTTTTTGGGTACCCTAAAGTGAAATTTTGATCTTGGGTCAGGGGTTTTGGGTTTTACATTCAGGGTTTTCAGGGCGACCTCCTTCTGGCAGCATAGACCGTCACTTTTGCTGGCCATGCACTGACTGATGCCTACAGATACAACATACGTTTGCAGAGGTTCGTATTTGCAACTGTATGGGAGTCGGGTGGCAGGTACTATGATGTTCTGATTAGTTTTAGGTTGCTTTGGGCGTCTTTGCTGGAGGCACACGCCCCATCGATCATGAAACCGAGTCTTATAATCAGTGCGGTTATGTGCGCTGCAGGCAAGGCCGAGGCCTGCCGTGAAGATTGCACGGCTTAGGATGTAGGGTTTGGATTTAGGGCGCAGGGGATTTTTGCCCCGGGAGCCTAAACTCTCAATGCAAGGGTCTGCAGATGTTCTACCGCCCCACCACCATGCAGGTCGTGCCTTCTCCTGCAATGCATCCGGCAGGCACCAGAGTGAGGCGGTGGGAAAAGGATCGGCGATGCAGCCGGTTTTGTCTTCTCGTCTGCGCATCTGCATTACATGCGCTCTTTACACATTTTGTCATGTACGCTACTTGCGAGAATGTATGTATGCATTGCATGTAGGCAGCCAGGCAGTCGAGGCGGGCACGGCAAGGCATGTAGGTATGCACCTGTATGTAAGCACGTATGCATTCATATGTGCACATGTACGTACGTCGGTATAAGCGGGCTAGGCAGGTACGCAGGCAGGCAAGTTTGTTTGTATACCAAGCGCACATTGGTATGGCATTCATTCCAGGCGCGTTGATGTGTAAATTGGTACAAAGGCGAATGGACATTTTTCAACCGACAGGTCACTTATGTGAAAAGCAATGCTCTGCTGACTTACTTCATGCAGCGGTACATCGATAGGTGAGTATGACGGATAAGGTTCATAGAAGCAGCATGCAGAATACAGTATACAAGCATATACATCCGTGCACATCCATATTCTCGCGCATGTTCAATTGAGCGCTTGAACAAAACTAAACCACATTATTGCAGAGAATCAAATCAACCAATGACCAGGGAAAGAACGACCAAGCAGATGAATCACGAATCAAGACAGAAATACATCAATGGCGATAACTTTGGTGATACATGTCTCTTCGTGCCTGCCTGTGTTGTGCGCGGGTAACGGTGCAACAGCGTGCGGATGACACGCCCATGCATTCGGTTCGAGCTGGTGCAGCCTCTCAAGTCGTAGGAGCGGCTGGGACTGATGCAGGCCAGCATGTGGTCAGTCTTGTGCCCAGTAGGTATTCAATGGTATTCACACATCATACTTGCGTGATGCAAGCCATTTGTGTTGAGTATGTCTTCCCCACAGTTCCGATCGTGCCATCGTTGTGTTGCGGATATTTTTGGCATCCTCACAGGGATGTGCTCGGACATCTCCATGACAGCATCGGCGGCCGCGGCCGAGCTCGCCGGGAATCCCAGCGGAGTTGTGTGCAAATGTTCTTGAGCCCTGTTTTTCGAAAGGATGTTAGTCAACCGTTTATTTGGGTAGACATTGTCAGGTACGCAGATGTGTCCGTTTGCGAGCTATCCGGGATGAAGTTTCCAAAAGCTTTACGTGGCAGGGTTGGCTAGCGAGCTTGCTTGAGCCTTGATGGGTTAGAAATTAAAGTTTCCATGAGACGAGTTTCATGACGTGAGTTTGGAACGACCTCAAAGCCCCGGCTTACTTGGAGTCTGAGCAGGCCCAGCATCCCCCACTGCATCGGATTGCGGCCCCAATCCCACAGGAAGGGGAGGATTGGTTACAGGCATTACGAAGCAGGCGCAGTTCCATGCCTAGTGCAACGCGTTGCCGTTACGAACTGACGGCGCGATTGAAATTTTCAAAGTCTACACTACAAAGATCCAAACATCCAAGGGTGGGCATTAGCGTTACAAACTTACACTGTCCTGTCAATTTGCAAACTCTACCACAAGAAAAAAATTCAAGGGTGGACGTTGGCGTTACAAACTTACAGTGTCCTTCAAATTGCAAAGTCCACCATACAAAGATACAGAAAAAATCATGGGTGGACGTTGGCGTTACAAATTTACAATGTCCTTCAAACCGCAAAGTCTACCACACAAAGATGCAAAAACTTAGGCGTGGCGTTGCAAACCTTCAATGTCCTTCAAACTGCAAAGTCCAACATGCAAAGATACAACAAATCAAGGGTGGACGTTGGCGTTACAAATTTTACAATGTCCTTCAAACCGCAAAGTCTACCACACAAAGATGCAAAAAATTAGGCGTGGCGTTGCAAACCTTCAATGTCCTTCAAACTGCAAAGTCCAACATGCAAAGATACAACAAATCAAGGGTGGACGTTGGCGTTACAAACTTACATTGACCTCGAACTGCAAAGTGTAGCATGCAAAGATACAACGAATCATGTGTGGACGTTGGCGTTACAGTCTTACAATGTCCTTCAAACTGCAAAGTCTACCATATAAAATACAACAAAATACAACAAATCAAGTGTGGACGTTGGCGTTACAAACTTCCAATGTCCTTCAATCTGCAAAGTCTACCATATAAAATACAACAAAATACAACAAATCAAGGGTGGACGTTGGCGTTACAAACTTCCAATGTCCTTCAATTGCAAAGTCTACCATACAAAAAACCAACGAATCATGGGTGGACGTTGGCGTTACAAACTTACAATGTCCTTGAATTTGCCAAGTCTATCATACAAAGATACAAAAAAGTCATGGGTGGACGTTGGCGTTACAAACTGACAACGTCCTTCAATTGCAAAGTCTACCATGCAAAGATACAACAAATCACGGGTGGACGGTGGTGTTACAAGCTTACAATGTCCTTCAAACTGCAAAGTCTACCGTGCAAACTTACAATGTCTTTCGAACTGCAAAGTCTACCATAAAAAGATACAACAAGTTCAAGGTGGACGTTGGCGTTACAAACTTACGATGTCCTTCAAACTGCAAAGTCTACCATACAAGGATACAATCAAAAACGAGGGTGGGCATTGGCGTTACAAAATTACAATTTAGTGTCCTTCAAAGATACAACAAAACATAGGTGGACGTTGGCATTGCAAGCTTACAATGTCCTAAACACTGCAAACTCTACCATACAAAGATACAACAGATCATGGGTGGACGTTGGCGTTACAAACCTACAATATACTTCAAACTGCAAAGTCTAGCATACAAAGATACAACTAATCATGGGTGGACGTTGGTGTTACAAACTCACAATGTCCTTCAAACTGCAAAGTCTACCATGCAAAGATACAAAAAATCATGGGTGGACGTTGGCGCTACAAACTTACAACATCCTTCAATTTGCCAGGCTATCGATTCCATTCAGTACCTCCGTGGGCTGAGGATGGTACATCTTGATGTCCCGCGCCTCAGCAGCATTCCGACTAATGCCCTACATCAGAGCCCTAAATACTAAGCTCTGAACCCTAAACCGTCGCAGACAGTGCCACTGCCAGGGATGTGAATTTCGGCTTCTGAGTTAAAGACTCCGCTGCGAAACAGTTTAAGCCAGACAGAGCAGGCTTAGTGTCTACGGCTGTGTGGGTTTAGGAGTTTGGGGTGTCAGATGTCAGGATTAATTAGGGCCTACATGGACCCAATGGAACCTACATCTCTGGGGTTTCGCCTCTGCTTGCAAGGTCCAGGCAAATTCTTTGTGTTTGTGGGGTTTGGGTCCGCGGCACAGTCCTAGGATGATTGCGTTCTTCCCAATCAAACCACAATCCTACACATGTTCAGTTTACCCCCTCAAGCCACCACCTGACTGGAGGAGAGAGTGGTTGGGCTTTGGCTCGCCCGGGTATCTGGCTCCAGAAGTCCTTCAAGGTTGGGCTTCCGATGGCTTCCGTGTTCATTGGGGTTTCGGTGTTGAGCAGATTGCGGTACTGGGCCTCAGTTTACAGGGTTTGGGGATTCGGATTGTAGGCGTTGAGTGCTTAGGGAATGGGGCAGTAGCGTTTCATGGCTTGCGAGTTGTAGGGTTGGGCTGAGGGTTTGGGAATATGGAGGATTCGTTCCTAAGTTTCTGGAGATTCCTTGCTTGAAATGGTCTCGGACTGCCGAGACAACTTGCGGACCCTCCAGCGTATCGCCGCCGGGTTTTCTGGAGGGAACCCCGAGGTACGCCAAGAGAGGAGCCACTATGGATGGTATAATAGGGTTTACGGCTTGCCAGATATAGGCTTCAGGTTTGTAGGATGTCCAGAGATTTGAGGCAAGCGCAGCCAAGAGGGCGACGAGATGGGTCAGGCAACTACTCATCACCCCAATCATTGTCCAAGGGCTTGTCCCCGCATAGCCCCGTAGGGTATAACTGGATAACTGCCCATGAGTCTTGAAGTGAGAGCCAGTTTGGCCTCCAGCAGGTTGCCACTCCCGGCTTTGCGAGCCGCGCGTTGCGGGGCAGCTCGGATCACCCAAATGCTAAAAGCTGAAAACTGGGAAGGGGGTTTGGGCTTAGGAGTTTAGGGTATTACAATGCCGGAAACCTAAACCCCAAGCCCCTAAATTTCTGAAGCCGATCCGTCTAGGCGAACGGACCTAGAGCCCCTCGCCGCAAACCAGAAACTAGCCCTGCACCCGCTATAGAACCTGGTCTAAACTGCCAAAACCTACTTGGTTGCAAGCTCTTCTCAATCATGTATAGAACCCAAATATTTTTGACAAGGAGACTGCATAAAAGTAGGTTTGAATGAATAGTTTCAGCCCTCCCGCTCAACACTAGACGGTGATGCTACCACAGGTGTCGGTGCTCCTGGGAAAGGACTCCGGAGGGGCTCTGATGGTGCGTTAGTGCGAAGTGTAGAGCTGTGGATGTTGGGACGTAGGGTTTAGGCTTCAGGCTGGCTTGGGGTATCAAACCCCAAAACCCTAAGCCCCTAAACCCCAAACCCTAAACCCTATAGCCTTTGGGGTTGCGTATTTGGGGGTGGTATTGGGTTTGGTGTCTCGGCGACTTAGCGCCCACGCTGCACCGAATCCATACCAGACAAGGGGCCCTGGGGGTGTGGGCTTGAGGGTATACTATAGGGGCCTCAATAATTACCTATACTAACTGTTGTGGGAGTTCCTCATCATAATTATAGTATAATGGCCCAACACCCTACAATAATAAAAGCCCCTGGAATGCAGACCCCGAAGCTCCATCGTCTAGTCACTCGGGTCGATAATTGCACTGATTCTAGAAGTTCTGGAGAGGGGAACCCTCTTGGTGACCTCCATGTCTCGAAAGGAGATGCAGGAGACACCTGCTGCAGCAGACCCCAGTGATACCGAGGCCTGAATGGAATTGTTGCTTCCTGAAGCCCCGCATTCCCAAAATCTTAATTAAACTCTCAGCGAACTCCAAGCCCTAAATCCCGATAAGCCCTAAATCCTGAACTTCGAACCCAAGTCCCAAACTCTTTATCCATAGGCTCAACTTGTCCGTGCTTATCCCTTTCCCTTGAGTCTGTTGGCCTCGAGCTTTGGGCGAGGGTTTAGGCCTGGAGATACAGGTTACAGGGCTTAGGGTTTATTGAAACAAGGAATTTTTGGGATGGATGGAGTTGGTTTGCGATCCAGGTTGCTTCCTTCTTGGCCGTACCATGCCTACGCCTACACCTCACACCGTGAAGCAAAAACCCCATATCCTACATCTTGCCTGTAGGCTCATACCCATACCCTACCCCTTTTATGGGGTACCTACTTTCTAGATAACAGGTCCTAACCATAAAACTAGGTACCGTAAAAAGGGTGGTAGTGTATGAGCCTCTAGGCCCCCAAATCCCAAAACTCCCAACTCAAAGCCTTCCCTGTGCAGGCTGCAGAGAGGATCCCCGAAATCAAGTCCCAAGCCGTGGATGAGTACCTTGGACCTACAAGGCCTGAACTGTCTAGGGGTTGTAGGGGTTCAGGAGTTTAGTGGTTTGGGGTTGAGGGATATGAGGGGTTTAAGATTTGAGGATACATAGGGCTTTGGGGTTGAGGGTTCAGAGTCGAGAGTGCTGCATGTGCGACTTTGGGTCTACCGGGGGGGAGCTTTCGAGATAGGGATTTCCCATTTGTGGTGACTGCGGAGGATTCTTAGCAATTCTTCTAGACCCCTTTAAGAGGAACCCCCAAACAAGTAGAGGTAATATACTAAACTACTAAACCCCCATAAATACCTTCTCTAGTAATCCTTACTTGTTTGCCGATCGACTTCACGCTGAGCAGCAGCTATCACAGCTGAAGACACTCAGCCCAAGTGCGAAGCGGTTGCTTGTAAGCCCTACTCCGTACTCCGCTCGAGGTGTCCCCCCGGCCAGATCAACAAGGAGCCCTGGAACGACGCCAGCGACGTCGTCCATGGAGAAGCTTTGCATGGATGTTGGGCTTTCGGGATTGGTATTCAGCTATATAGGGCTCAAGATTCAGATCTCGACAGTACGTCAAATCAGCAACTGGGCTTCGCTTCGGCTGGCTGTAGGTTTCAGTGGGTCAGGGGGTTGGGTTTTAGGGCTTCCAAGGGAATTGCAACTCACGACCCGAAAGCCCAAACCACAAATTCCTGAAGCCCTAAACCCCAGAGATTTAACCCTCAACCTTGAATTATCGTAAACCTTGTACGTCAGTATGCAACCAAGCCCCACCCAGAGGCTCATACAGAAAGGGAGGATACTACTGTTAGAGTTCCTTCCTTACCTCTATGATTGTCGTATACTGTACCGTACCGCACAAGCGCATTCCAATTGTCAAGGCCGCTATGTGATGAACCTCCAAGTGGAACCTGAGCTCGAGCGCCTAAACCCTGTAAAAGCCCTGAGCCCTCGACCGTAAGCCCTCTCCCGAGGTCCTACTATAGGGGCCTAAATCATTACCTACACTATTTTGGGGGGTTCCCTAATATAATACTAGTATAGTGGGCCCCCACCAAACCCCATTCTCGTTATTAAGGCCCCTACACTACGCCCGATACCTGAACCTTGAACCTGATGCCTGTCTAAATTAGGGAACCCTTATAAAAAGGCCCCTGAAAGGGACGGACCCTAGTTTAGAGAACTACCCAAATCCTAAACCCTGAACCCGGATTTGAGGATAGTGCGAAAAGTATGGATGGAGCGGCACCCCTCCTTTTGGGCCGCGAGCGGCACCTTGGTCCAGATCAGGTCCCGAGCACCGTTAAACTTGAGACTTTCGAATCTTGCGAAATCATGCTCACGTGAAACATGTTTAACCAAACATGGAATTCGTATGAGATGCACACATGGAAAACATAGAGGTTGAAGAACCGGGTTGAAGATTGGATAGCAAATATGCTGGGAAAACATGAAAACACGAGCAATGTTAGCAGGAGGGGGGGACGGGGGCAGGGGTGGAGGGGTGGGAGAGGCGGAATCAGATGATAGGACAGAAGGAAAGTGTGGAAACACCACGAACACACTGTGAAAACATGCAAAGAGGCATGAAAACGAAATAGGGAGCGAAGCCAAAACAACATGAACCGACCCAGAGCCATCCACAGCCACATTTTGCCAATGCTTTTCGGTTTTGTTCATTTGCAAACCATATTTCTTTCATATCTACTTCATAATAAAGAAATCAATACGTGAGGAATCGTGGTTTTGCAAGACTTCAGGCTAACAGTTTCTTGGAGTGTGTGTTTCTGTGATACAAGCAAGTAGTCATAGTCTGTGCAGCTGCGGCTTTGCACATGTCGAGATACAGTACCCGCACATGCGTATGTTTCAATGTACATAACCATCACAAATCCTAAATCCAAACTTCCATGCTACAGTGCACAGCAAGGCACTGTAACCCAATGCAGAGAAAGTCATTGCAATGCATGCGTACAGACTGCGCATAAACAGCCAATACATGCATTGCCTAGGTGCATTTAGTGTGAGCCTTGAAGTACATCGTGGTGTACTTACACACTCATACTTACACACACACGCATACAAACATACACACGTACATATGTACGTGCATACGAAAGTACGCAAATACAGAAATGTAGAAGCATGCGCATACGTACGCACATACATATTCAATTTCACTTGAAAAAGCAAATACTGTACATGTACATACACACATGGGCCCCTAAACATACACGCCAACATACATGTGCCGACATGCGTATGCCCCTTTGCATATTCGTCGTATACATGTAATTACATATACGTACACAGACGCAGGCACAGACACATGGGTATACATATATATAAATATATGTTTATATATATATATACATATATATGTACATACATACATATCTACGTCTACCTACACGCATTTACATATTCATGTCTATATATATATATATATGTATATGTATATATATATATATATTCTGTAGACACACACGCTTATTTAATTGTCTTTTGGTATAGATACATACATACATGCATGCAACAAGCGTTCAGAAACATACATACATACATACATACACACATACATACATACGTACGTACGTGCGTGCATACATACATGCATATATATATATATATACATATATACACATACTGCTTACAATCCTTGATGCAATAGCCCACTCATTCAAGCATTATTCTATTCATCCATTCTTTCATTTGTTCAATCAGCCTTTCAGTTTTTCACACATTCATACACTCGTACGTTCATGTCAGATCGTATCATACGTACAGCTTTATCGTCATACATAGGTACCAACATGCCAACCAACCTACCTGCCTAACTACCTGCCGGCCTAGCTACCTACCGACCTGCCTACCTACCCACCTATACTTACGTTTTATACGTACCAACCTACCTAACTACCTACCTACCGACCTACCGACCTACAAAACCCACCCACCCCTCGCATACAGGCATAACCAACAATTACTTGCACGCCTCTCCTGCATGTATATGGGTCAAGGATGACATACTTACCGACAGATAGACATCGAGCAACGGCATTTGAGTGACGATCTTACTCGGCCACTGGTTCCGAAAGCCTTGGACATATGGGGTACCATGAACACATTAGTCAATGTGTGAGTATTCTGGAGGACTGTCTGTGTCAGGGTTCCGCTTTGGCACAGCTTCTTGACGTTGCAACGAGCGAAGCAGAGCCAGATAGGTGCCGGAGCGGAAGTTCCACCATTCCTGCGGCGAAGGGAATGACAAATTCATTGTTGGTGTCCCCTTGAGCCAGTCGAGGTATGCGGCCGACCAGAAAGATGAGTCGCGGACAGACGCTTGGTTTGTTTTGGGAGCTTGGGATCGGGATCGGATACGGTGGCTAAAGTGCAAGTAGAGTAGGTTTTTTGCCTGTCTTTCTGCCGCATTTTTGTTGCATAGGGCAGGCGTTTTTGGGCTGTGGGTTTGAGGTGTAAACGCTAGCCAAGAAGACATCCGCATCAGTGATGCCTCCCCCCGAAGCCAGGGACTTGGGAAGGGAGTGGTATCTGGGGTGTCGGCTGGGGTTTTTGAGTTTCGCTTGGACTCGGCCTTGCGTTCTTGGACACTCCAGGCTGCCAAGCAGAGCAGAAAGGCTGCAAAGGCCTGCCGGGCAAATTCTTTTGCAACTCGCGTGATTACTGGACCAGTCATCCAGAAAAAGCTGCACCCCTTCATGGGCGATGTTCTTTCTTGCACATGTGTCCTGTTCACAGTGTGTGCCTTGTGAATGTAGAATGCAGAGTTGTGGCTCAGTCATGATGCTGGTGCTGAGGGTGGTGGTGAGGATGGGAATAGCGATGACGGCGAGGGCGACGGTGATGGTGTTGAAGACGCTGATGCTGCTGATGATAGAGATGGTGACCCCAGTTAATGCTACTGCAAGGGCTCTTGCTACTTCCGCCGCTGCTGTTTCTTCTTCCTTAGCCATGCCCGATTGAAGCAGCAGAAATGAAAGCAGTTGCTACAATTCACTTCTGCAACCGAGCAGGGGAACCAAGCTTTTCAGATTATCGAGGACCAAGCGCGTGCAATGGTTGTGATGTCAACGGGTCAGACAAGTTCTCACAGATCCAGACTGTCAGGTACAACATGGAAGGCATCTTCTCGTAGAAATCCTGATTGTAGCAACCACTACAGCAAACGCTGGTCTTCTCGTATAAAGCCAAAAAGCTCGGATGTAGGCTCGAAAGGTTATTGCCAAGTCTCACCAACAGGGGTGGGTGAGGAAGCTCGGAACCCGAAGGTCCTCGTGCAGTCATTTCCTTCTTGTTGCAACTGCTGGAATGTTTAACCGTCACCCTCATCAAAAGTTTTTGAGCATGGTCACTTTTGGCTTTCATTCATTATTGGCCTGATTCTTTGCGGGGCTGTCAGACAGCCAAAGTGCTAAAGTTCATCCGCGACCAGGCACGGCAGCTGATCCGCGACCAGGCACGGCATCTACATTGGAATGACCGGACTTGCAGGAATAAGCGGTGTGCAGCATGGTGCGTGGTAACAGAAGCACTGCAGCCGCTGTAAAAGGCGCAATGGTGATCAGCTCGGGTTCAGGGCTGCTTTGCATTTCACGACTTAGCATTTTTACGACGATCCAGCTGCACAGTCAATGCCAGAAGCTGGATTTGTAGCTTGTCGCTGTGAAGCTCTAAATACACAAGCTCAGAGCCAAGCCCAAAGCAAGTTCAAACTTCACCCCCAAGCAAAAGCAAAAAGTCCTGCATCCACTCGAAGGGCTTGGGAGTAGGCTTGAATCAAGATGCCAAAGACCTTCAAGCATCGAATCGAACGTTGACCCGAACTCTGGAACAGCTTCGTGCTAATGCCCGAAGAAGTTCACATAATTCTCTACAGCGCTGATTCCGTTGGTATGCTGCAGCCAGCCAGCCAGAAACACGTGGACATATCGTTGGGGAGTCTATGCAGCAACCGTCAGCCTTAAGGGCCTAAACTCTGCAGCATCCAAGCAGCCAGATGGAGCCAACCGTCATCTTCGTGGAGTCCCTGTTCCAGGGGCTCGCCGAGGCATGGCTTCAGCTTCGACGGGGTTAGGGGTTGATTGGGAAACTGCTCCTTATGTCTGCCTTTCCCCTCCGGAACTGCGATGTTTGGATCAGTCGGGGTCCGATTGATGCAGCTAATCTCTGCTGAGAGGCACCTTCCTCGGCTGAGCAGCGCGCTGCTGCTCTGACGGCCGGGCGCCAGGCCTGGTAGTCGACTGATCAGAAGGAGCTGTCAGGATTTCAGATCGTGTTGGTTCAGATTTCATGTATGTAGGGCTTATGGAGGCGGCGTTCTAGAATTTAGAGCTTTAATGGGTGTAGAGTTCAGTTGTTATCTTGCGGTTTTTCGCTGACAGGGGTTCCGTTCTGCAGAGATTAGAAGTGATGTCAAGACAGCTCCCGGGTTTAAAGGGCAACGCATGTCACCGTCCCGGGTTCAGAATCTCAAATCGGAGGGGTCGTAGACTCAGCCCCACAACACCCCTTTCCGGACTCGAAACAAGATGAGACCCACTGCTTCTCAGGTCGTTTGCCAGTTTTCCGAAGAATGCAAGTCCTTAATGTTGAGCCTTGAAGCAGAAGCCCCATACGGTGAACCTTCGGACCCCAAAGTCCCATTGAAGTTGGAGAAGCTAAGCCGAGATTGCCGAAAGTCGGCACCTGCTGAGACAGGCGGGCAACGCCGTGCTCTTAAAGAGGAGCGAGGCGGGGCTCCTTGGGGTTCACAGGGGTTCCCAGGCTTGGTGTTTACGGCCATGGTTTTACGGCTTCCACGTCTGCATGTTCTGTTATCCTTTTTGTCGTGCGCCTGCGGGAGTAGAGCTACTTGTCCAAGTATGTGAAGATTTGTCTTCTTTGCTCATCCAGCCCTCACTTCCGCGTGGACATGTTTTGCTTTGTCACCCCATCGCCCGTTCCTCCCCAGCATGGTTTTACTTGATTGCGCTTCAGGCGAGGGTTTGCTCTGCAGGGATTGGGCTGTGTCATGTGGTTCTGACTGAGTGGCAACATAACTCCTGTCGATTCCGGCCACGCAGCCCCCGTCCCCAAACCTTACATCCTACTTGTAAGTACTACCCGCAACTCCGTGTTTCATTTCGGGGGCGGGGGGGGGATGGCCTTAGTCGCGTATCCTTCAAGTAGGGTTTTAAGTCGATTCGACCAAGGCAGCAGGAACATTAGCGGCTGTTTATTGTTCTGGATCCGGCACGGCATGAGCCCATCCTGCCAAAACTGATTTCAACACGATGCTGCAGTGTAATGACGGCGGGATGTGCAACGATGACATGACCATGTCGGTGTCTACGTCATGCTTGGAAGCTGCAGCAGACTTGTATCTTTCGCGACTCCGCAGCTATCGCGATTCTGCAGCGGAACTTTGAACAAAAACCATCACAATCGCAGCAATCTCAGCACCACAGACCAAGAATTCTTTCAAGCTTCGTAAAGAATGCGAGACCGTGCAGGTCGTGCCTTCTCCTGCAATGAAGCCGGCACCCACGAGACTGAGGCGGTTGGAAAACGGTCGTGGATGCAGCACGTTCTTGTCTTCTCTTCTGCTGTCGTTCGCTCCCTGCACATCTCGTCGTGTATGCTACCTGCGTGCATGTATGTGCATGCTGCAGGGCAGGCAGGCATGCAGGCAACATGGGCAGGTAGATGGGTGTGTAGGTATGCAGGCATGTATGCATGTGTGTATAATATATGTACCTGAATGTAGGCATGTATGCGTACATATGTGCGTATGTGCCAGTATGTGCGTATGTAGGTGGGCGGCTAGGTAGGCATGCAGAGAAGGCAGGCGGCTAGGTAGGCATGCAGACAGGCATGTAGGCCGGCATGTAGCCATGTATGTTTGCCTGTACACAGACACGCAGTGGTGTAGTCTTTATTTCTAGCGATCTGATGGACAAACCTGTACGCGGGCGAATGCATTGTGTTTTCGAGCGACAGGTCGCTTATCTGATACAGGAGTGCGCAGCTGATTTAAATCATCAAGCGGTACATCGATAGCTGCATATGACATATGGGGTTCATAGACGCAGCATGCAGCATACAAATTACACAAGCATATACATTCGTGCACATGCATATTATTGCTCATGTTCGGTTGAGCGATTGAACACAACATAAGCATAATCACGTGGACAATCAAGTCAACAAATGACCAGGGAATGGATGACTCAGCAGATGAATCATGAAGCAAGACGGAAATGCATCCATGGCGATATCTTCGGTGATACATGTCTCTGTGTGCCTGCCTGTAGAGTGTTGTGCGGGCCACGGTTTAACGGCATGCGGATGACACATCCATGAATTCGACTCGAGCTGGTTGTTGCTTCTCAAATCGTACGGTAGGAGAGGCTGGGACCGATGCAGGCCACCATGCGGCCAGTGTTGAGCACATGTTTGCTCCATGGAGCTAGGTATTCACACACGTGTATTTGTGGATGGAAGCCTTTTCTGGTTGAGCATGTTCTCCAACAGTTCCAATCGTGCCGTCACCGTGTTACTGATATTTTGGCATCCGCACGGGGATGTGTTCGGACGTCTCCTTTACTGCATCGGCGGGCATGACGGAGCTCGCCGGAACCCCAGCGGAGTTGCCCTGTTTTTCGAAAGCTTCACCGAATGTAGGAGTCGGTAGGGCCGATAGATCCCCTTGCACTTGATGGTAGTGGTTTTGGGCGTAGGGTTTCGAGCTTCAGGGCGGACATTTGGGTATCTTCTCGGGAACTGACCTTTAGAACATTCCCCAAACGCCTGTTTGCTTGCATCAGCGAGTTGGCAGATGCCTCCTACCCAGAGGTTGTTTTGAGTCAAGGCATGCTCGCGCCCCAAGAGCAAAATGCAATGTAAATGCCGATCTGCAGTGTCTCACCTGGCTTTTCGGCGAAACCCCAATTCCTAAACCTATTTAGTAAGCCCGAGCAAGCTCTGAGCGCTTTGAAAAGGGCCCAAACATGAAACCGCAAGTCCAAAAGTGTAGCCCTATTCCCCTGAAGCCTTACCCCTACTTTAGGGTTTAGGGTTTAGGCCCTGAACCCGAACCCCCTGTGATTCCTAGCTATAGAGAACAAACAGCGCTTGTGGGCCCCCCCAGTCGCCCGCTTCCAAAATTCCATGCCCTCTGAAAGCTTAACTCGCGATAAATTGTTTAAAGGGTTCAGGGTTTAGGATTTAGGGTTTAATCAGGGCTTCTAGGGTTTATTAGGTTTTAGGGTTTAGGGTTGAAGATGAGTCTTGCAATTTTAAGTGCGTTTGCTATGAATGACTACAAGGATTGTGCGGCAGTCGTGTTTTCATAGCAGTTTCGCATTATTGTTGTTCCACATACCCCACACACCGTAACCTCCTATCTAAGCCCGCAAAACCACAAATCATAGGCATTAACAAAACCCTGTCAGCCCAAACACCTTCCAAACCCTAAAGCCCAAACCCCAAATTCCCAAAACCCCGAGCCAGTGGCATGACGCCGAGGTTTATTGCACGAAATCTGACGGTGATATCCCCACGGGGCACATGGGGATTGCGTCTCGGGATGAAAACGGTTTAGGGGTTCCTACGGCTGAGGGTTACATCTTAGGGCTTTGGGTTAGAGGTTTAGGGCTTTCACGGTTTAGGGAGCTTTGAACCCCAGAGCTTGAAACTTAAAGTCCCATCATCTTTCCGCTGCTGGAGGTTCCTGGGTCGTTATAAGTGGGGTGTATAAGTAGGGCAACTATACTTGTAAGCCGTAGTAGGGTTAGTAGGGTACTTCTAACCCCCACTTATACCTACCCATGAACCTCCAAACAACCTCGGGGCCTTCAGCCCGGAACCTTGACTCCGCAAGCGTTCGGAGTTGTTGAGCCACCCTAGCATGAAGAGTTTCCCCATGCCCGTCCTCTTAGGCTTTCAGTTTGGGGATTCATTTATGGGGTTCATGGTTTAGGGTGGAGGGTTGTAAGTTGTAGGGTTCTGGGTTCAGGGCTTCAGGTTGGGACTGAGCCTTGGAGCCTCGAAAGCCCGTCTGGAAGAATCTGGAAAGTCGTGGTCTCTGTGTATGAAGGATTCCTTTGGTTTAGGCTTAAGGTTTCCATGTTCTGAAATTTTGTGCTTGGGGTTCGGGGAGCTTCTGAGTTCAGCAGCTGCTTTCCTGAGAGGGCTCCCGGAGGTGTAACTCTGCTGAGGTGGCAGGGTTTAGGGTGTAGTTTGTAGGGTTTTGGTTTCATTTAGGATGTATTGTTGGGGCACCGTAGGGCCTAACCCCGACGCCCTGAAGTATTAAACCCTAAGCCCCAGCAGCACGCTCCAGATCTGAGATCCTGAAGGCCAAGGACCTGAACGACGAAGGTCGCGTGAAGGTCCTGGGTGCTCTGCAGGGCACTTATTGGGGCCGTGTACCTCAGTGTGGGGCCAACTGGCTCCCAATGGCTCGTCGGAGGAGCACAACACAGGGGTAGCAGACAGTTCCTTCAGATAGCTGTCCAAGCAATTGCCACGATCAGTGGTGTCGAGTGCCACAAGCAGCTTCCTGCACAAGGTCTGCTTCTGATGCTGACTGCTCCATGGCGGATGCGATCACCTCTAAGAAAAAATTGTGTCCCGCTGCTGGGCGCGGCTTTGGCTGAGGGGTTTGGGCAGCACAATTGTCTTGCTTGGTGCATTCCGCAGACCTTGTGGTATGGGTAGTTGCACTGAACCCCACGGACCCAGGCATTTTGGACAACTACAAGTACAGATTCTGGTTAGGGGCAGAACCCTTCCAACGACCTAGATGTAAGTCTTAGTTGACGGTTCGTGGGTAGTCACAAGTGATTCACGAGACTTGTCATTTCAACATGATGCCGCCCGACCAGAATCAACCTGCCAACACCTCGACCACACCTTGAACCCCTAGAGACTCCAAAACCCCTAACTCGGAGAATGGGCCTTATAAAAACAAGGAACTGTCTGTATTGTCGGTATATATATCTCAATTCATGGGTTTTAGAGTGTCTGGGCTTATCGGCTTCCCCCAAAACCCTGCGCCCTTAAACCCAAAACGGAGGCTGCATGGCAGCGCAGCTGGAGGTCCAAGTCCAGTAGCAGTAGTAGTAGTAGTAGTAGTAGTAGTAGTAGTAGTCGTCGTCGCCGTCGTCGTCGTCGTAGAAAGAAAGATGATATGGGATTGACGTTTGCTGGTACTTTTTTAGATTGTTCAAAGCGCCTTTCGGGCTTGGGGCTGTCTGGTTTCAGGCTTAGTGTTTCAGGTTCTGTATGACGAAAATTCCCCCAGATTTCGAGTTGAGAAGTTTCGGCAGCTTCAGTCTTCAGGTCTGGAGTTCCAGGGTTTCAGGAACAGGTCTTCAGCTCAGAGCTGCAAGCTGTTAAGAGCTTCCGTCGCAACGGGTTGGGACTTGCTGGGCTATATGGTTTAAGAGTTTATGGATGGGCTTGGCAGAGGTTCGAGGGCTGCGGCTTTGGGTTTCAGCTTTAGGCTTCAAGCGGTTTTAGATGAAAGATTTGGCTTCATGATGTATGGCTTTGGGATTCACGACTTCCAATGTGCGAGCTTCACCCATCTGTAAGTTGCGCGGGTTTAATCCGCAGAATGCGAGGACTTCCTGGCTCCCAGTTCTCCCATAAAGCTCCATGTTGCCACAAAGCGGGTCGCGGGAAGTCTCTCCAGATTCAGGCCTGCTCGACTAGTGTTGGATCTCATCGGGCTTATGGGTTGAGGGTGTCCTGGGAGTAAGGGACCTGGGGGCTACAAGTAGTTTTTGTATGTGTGCCCTCAATTTCGGCCGGCTTCTACCCTCAGAGAGCCCTCGCTAGGCTAAATCGGCGTCAGCCAAGCCCTTGTGAAACGACCAACATCTTTACAAAACCCCGTAAATGCCTGCCTTGTAAAAATGTGCATGGCAAGTTGAATTGAAGTAAGAAGCATTCTTAATATCCCGAATTCACCTAAACTTGGCCTTCTTAGGGGCTTTTCTGCATGTTTTATCCCAATCCTGCCTGACAGGTTTTGCGAGCCCTACCGGCTGCAGCGCGTGGCCAGCGACTTGACGATCGAGTACCTAGGAACATTCTGCTTATGAGGGGTTGCCAAAGAGATTGAGACAGTTCTCACGGGTCTCAGCCTTTCCAGCAACTGCAGCAGCCCTGCAGTGGGCAGCTCTTGCAGATTTGAAGCTGATTCCAGTCTTGGTGCCTACGGGGTGAAATCGTCGAAAGAATGCTTCAGGGCTTAGGCGAAGGGAAGGATGTCCCAGAGGCTTAGAGCATACCAAGACCAAAGCCTCAGTGATATTTTTCGAAGCCCTAAACCCAAAACCCCAAACCCTAAACCCCGAAGCCGCAAGCTCAGCCTATAAGTTGTGCTAGCAGCTTCAAATCTTTTACACACATCGCGCAACATCGCACACGGTGCCGGTCTCTCTCAGCAATTTTGCAGTCAGAGTCTGTATAAGAATTTGGATCTGTTTCGGTGCATAACAACTGCACGCTGCGCGCCGACATATCCATGCATTTGGAGTTGGGAAGTGTGTGCATATGCGTGTGTGTGTGTGTTGTCACGCAGCCGCTTCCAGCAACTATGCCGTTGGAAGTAAGCTGCCTCCCTCACGGCCTCTGCTCGGCTAGACAGGATGAGCATGCATTAGCTCTACTGTGGCCCTCCACTTGACTTGTGCCCTAGTGGATTTTATCTCCCAGGTCAGCCAAGGGAGCTTTGCGCAGTGACTGCGGCAATGGTAGCAAAAAAGAAGCTTGGTTTCGTTGACGCAGAATCTGCATGTGCCTAGTCCCCGGTCCTTGTGCATAAACCCTGGGCCACAAGCCTGTCTTACACAGGATGTTTGTTTCTTTGCCCCTAGGGAAACAGGAAAAGCCTTTGAACTTTCCAACCCGAATCACTTGCGTCCCGTGACCTTGAATACTGAATTTCCGAAAGCATCCTGACTGGCTTGACTTCTTTTCACTCTTGACGCCGAGCGCCCAAGCCCTCAACCCGCCTCCCAATACACGACCCCGCCCCTCTGACTCAATATGCTTCGTCAGGGTTTTCGTTTTGCCATCACGGTTCAAGCCTGTTGACTTGCCCTGCCCCAGGGTAACTTCTCACATAGCCTGCAATGTCGGCGGTCTTCGTGAGCGGCTTCGACTCCGACACCACCATAACCACGGTGTTTCTCCACTTCAGCACCATTGCGCTGGTCGAAAACGTTCAATTCGTTGGCCAAGGAAATGCCGTTGTGACCTACGTGTTTCGGCTACCAGAACGGTGCAGGGTTGTGGGTTTCATTTGTTATTGCATCTTTCGTTGCGGTCTGCACCATTATTGTAGATCTGTTCTGTTTATGAATCGAGCAGATTGGAGATTGGTGGTTCAATCCTGTCTTGTTGCGGCTTCGAGGAATCGTCAGAGGCCGCGGGCCGCGCGGTGATTCAGCTCAATAACAGCAGCTTGTCTCGCCAGCTGCTGCCCTAAATTTGTCGACACTGAGCCCCAATCCCAAATCCCAAGAGAGGCTTACTCAAATACCCTGAACTTCTCTCTGGGCCTGGGCTTGGTGCCGAGAGCTTGGGCAATTTCTCGTTGATGCTGCAGTGAATTGATACAGGGCTCAGTTCTCGGAATCGGGACCCCTCGTGAGGCAGCTGTGTTGCTACAAGCAAGAGCAGGACCCTGGCGCCCCAAAGCCTGGCAGTCATGATTTCGGTAACAACAAAGGAGTATTCTACAATCTACTATCTATTGTAAGATTCTAAGTAATTCCAGATGATATAGTACTTCTAGAATTCTGATCACCTGTTATCAGGTGTATCAATAATTCCATTCATTGAGTGAGCTGCAGCACAATACCAGTAATGGAAGTCATACTCATACTTCGCTCTGCTAGGGCTGCTAAGGAGTGAAAAGGAATAGCTCATGAAACATCCAAGATCTCATCCAGGTCACATACTCCCCAAGTCTAGAGCGCAGGCACCATGCAGGGCAACCGACGGTATGTCACCGTGATGATCGACCACGGGGGCAATGGCAAAGGCCGGGTGCTTCCGAACACGAAAATGCAACACAGGACCCAAAAGGGGGACCCCTTTCTTAAACCCTAAACCCTAAACTCTTTAAACTTTGGGATTTTGCAAGGCAAGGATGGAAAAGATAGCAGCGGCGTAGCCGGGTACGACAACAGCCACTTGAAGGGCTGCGACATGGACCGTGGAAAGAGCTGCTATGGCAAGGGCGGCTATGGCAAGGGAGGAGGCACCCTGGCTCAAAAGAGTTGACATAGCTTCAGTTCGGTTGCCGGTGCACTGGGACGTAGCACCAAACGCTTCGGCTGAAGCCTTGAAGCCCCATGCAGGCATTAAGCTCAGAGTGTCGGGAGATTGGCTCCCTCAGCGTGGGTTTCTGGTAAGTGATCCTTCTTTGCAGTGTCTGTTCTTCCATGTTATTGGTCTCCTGTCCGTCATCGATTCAGGGGTGTGGTTGAGAGATTTGGGGCTGCTGCCGGGGTTACGTCGTCGGCCTCTCCGCATCCGACCTGCCAGTCCTATGTCCCAAGCCCCCTGAACCTTAGACTCTCAAGCAAGATCCCAAAGGAGGACGAGACCACTTCGATGGGGACACGCAAAATGTTTTCGTTCCGCCCTTCAGCGGCCACCCCGGGTACGACAAAGGCCACGGCAAGGGCGGCTATGGCAATGGAAATCGCAAGGGAGGACGTGCCCCGGCTCAAAAGTGTTGACCTAGCTACAGTTCGGTTTCCCGTGCCTTAAGCTCAGAGAGTCTGGAGATTGGCTCCCTCAGCGTGGGTTTCTGGTGGGTGATCCTTCTTTGCAGTGTCTGTTCTTCCATGGTATTGGTCTCCTGTCCGTCATTGGGTGGCTTTGGAGGCAGCTACTTTAGATTCAGAGGTGTGGTTGAGAGATTTGGGGCTTCTGCCGGGGTTATGTCGTCGGCCTCTCCGCATCCGACCTGCCAGTCCTATGCCCCAAGCCCCCTGAACCTTAGACTCTCAAGCAAGATCCCAAAGGAGGACGAGACCGCTTCGATGGGGACGGGGAGACGCAAAATGTTTTCGTTCCGCCCTTCAGCGGCCACCCCGGGTACGACAAAGGCCACGGCAGGGGCGGCTATGGCAATGGAAATCGCAAGGGAGGACGTGCCCCGGCTCAAAAGTGTTGACCTAGCTACAGTTCGGTTTCCCGTGCCTTAAGCTCAGAGAGTCTGGAGATTGGCTCCCTCAGCGTGGGTTTCTGGTGGGTGATCCTTCTTTGCAGTGTCTGTTCTTCCATATTATTGGTCTCCTGTCCGTCATTGGGTGGCTTTGGAGGCAGCTACTTTAGATTCAGAGGTGTGGTTGAGAGATTTGGGGCTTCTGCCGGGGTTATGTCGTCGGCCTCTCCGCATCCGACCTGCCAGTCCTATGCCCCAAGCCCCCTGAACCTTAGACTCTCAAGCAAGATCCCAAAGGAGGACGAGACCGCTTCGATGGGGACGGGGAGACGCAAAATGTTTTCGTTCCGCCCTTCAGCGGCCACCCCGGGTACGACAAAGGCCACGGCAGGGGCGGCTATGGCAATGGAAATCGCAAGGGAGGACGTGCCCCGGCTCAAAAGTGTTGACCTAGCTACAGTTCGGTTTCCCGTGCCTTAAGCTCAGAGAGTCTGGAGATTGGCTCCCTCAGCGTGGGTTTCTGGTGGGTGATCCTTCTTTGCAGTGTCTGTTCTTCCATGGTATTGGTCTCCTGTCCGTCATTGGGTGGCTTTGGAGGCAGCTATTTTAGATTCAGAGGTGTGGTTGAGAGATTTGGGGCTTCTGCCGGGGTTATGTCGTCGGCCTCTCCGCATCCGACCTGCCAGTCCTATGCCCCAAGCCCCCTGAACCTTAGACTCTCAAGCAAGATCCCAAAGGAGGACGAGACCGCTTCGATGGGGACACGCAAAATGTTTTCGTTCCGCCCTTCAGCGGCCACCCCGGGTACGACAAAGGCCACGGCAAGGGCGGCTATGGCAATGGAAATCGCAAGGGAGGACGTGCCCCGGCTCAAAAGTGTTGACCTAGCTACAGTTCGGTTTCCCGTGCCTTAAGCTCAGAGAGTCTGGAGATTGGCTCCCTCAGCGTGGGTTTCTGGTGGGTGATCCTTCTTTGCAGTGTCTGTTCTTCCATGGTATTGGTCTCCTGTCCGTCATGGGATGGCTTTGGAGGCAGCTACTTTAGATTCAGAGGTGTGGTTGAGAGATTTGGGGCTTCTGCCGGGGTTATGTCGTCGGCCTCTCCGCATCCGACCTGCCAGTCCTATGCCCCAAGCCCCCTGAACCTTAGACTCTCAAGCAAGATCCCAAAGGAGGACGAGACCGCTTCGATGGGGACGGGGAGACGCAAAATGTTTTCGTTCCGCCCTTCAGCGGCCACCCGGGGTACGACGAAGGCCACGGCAGGGGCGGCTATGGCAATGGAAATGGCAAGGGAGGACGTGCCCCGGCTCAAAAGTGTTGACCTAGCTACAGTTCGGTTTCCCGTGCCTTAAGCTCAGAGAGTCTGGAGATTGGTTCCTTCAGCGTGGGTTTCTGGTGGGTGATCCTTCTTTGCAGTGTCTGTTCTTCCATGGTATTGGTCTCCTGTCCGTCTTTGGGTGGCTTTGGAGGCAGCTACTTTAGATTCAGAGGTGTGGTTGAGAGATTTGGGGCTTCTGCCGGGGTTATGTCGTCGGCCTCTCCGCATCCGACCTGCCAGTCCTATGCCCCAAGCCCCCTGAACCTTAGACTCTCAAGCAAGATCCCAAAGGAGGACGAGACCGCTTCGATGGGGACGGGGAGACGCAAAATGTTTTCGTTCCGCCCTTCAGCGGCCACCCCGGGTACGACAAAGGCCACGGCAGGGGCGGCTATGGCAATGGAAATCGCAAGGGAGGACGTGCCCCGGCTCAAAAGTGTTGACCTAGCTACAGTTCGGTTTCCCGTGCCTTAAGCTCAGAGAGTCTGGAGATTGGCTCCCTCAGCGTGGGTTTCTGGTGGGTGATCCTTCTTTGCAGTGTCTGTTCTTCCATGGTATTGGTCTCCTGTCCGTCATGGGATGGCTTTGGAGGCAGCTACTTTAGATTCAGAGGTGTGGTTGAGAGATTTGGGGCTTCTGCCGGGGTTATGTCGTCGGCCTCTCCGCATCCGACCTGCCAGTCCTATGCCCCAAGCCCCCTGAACCTTAGACTCTCAAGCAAGATCCCAAAGGAGGACGAGACCGCTTCGATGGGGACGGGGAGACGCAAAATGTTTTCGTTCCGCCCTTCAGCGGCCACCCCGGGTACGACAAAGGCCACAGCAAGGGCGGCTATGGCAATGGAAATGGCAAGGGAGGACGTGCCCCGGCTCAAAAGTGTTGACCTAGCTACAGTTCGGTTTCCCGTGCCTTAAGCTGAGAGAGTCTGGAGATTGGCTCCCTCAGCGTGGGTTTCTGGTGGGTGATCCTTCCTTGCAGTGTCTGTTCTTCCATGGTATTGGTCTCCTGTCCGTCATTGGGTGGCTTTGGAGGCAGCTACTTTAGATTCAGGGGTGTGGTTGAGATTTGGGGCTTCTGCCGGGGTTATGTCGTCGTCCTCTCCGCATCCGACCTGCCAGTCCTATGCCCCAAGCCCCCTGAACCTCGGACTCTCAAGCAAGATCCCAAAGGAGGGCGAGACCATTTCGATGGCGAGACGCAAAATGTTTTCGTTCCGCCCTTCAGCGGCCACCCCGGGTACGACAAAGGCCACAGCAAGGGCGGCTATGGCAATGGAAATGGCAAGGGAGGACGTGCCCCGGCTCAAAAGTGTTGACCTAGCTACAGTTCGGTTTCCCGTGCCTTAAGCTGAGAGAGTCTGGAGATTGGCTCCCTCAGCGTGGGTTTCTGGTGGGTGATCCTTCCTTGCAGTGTCTGTTCTTCCATGGTATTGGTCTCCTGTCCGTCATTGGGTGGCTTTGGAGGCAGCTACTTTAGATTCAGGGGTGTGGTTAAAAGATTTGGGGCTGCTGCCGGGGTTACATCGTCGGCCTCTCCGCATCCGACCTGCCAGTCCTATGCCCCAAGCCCCCTGAACCTCGGACTCTCAAGCAAGATCCCAAAGGAGGACGAGACTACTTCGATGGGGAGATGAAAGAGAGTGCAGAGCCTTGGATGCTTGGAGACACCCCTTACTCAACAAAATCCAACCAGAGATAGCTTGGAACTGGTGGAAACCTCTATACCCTAAAGCTCCAAGCTCTGAAACCGTGAAACCCTGCAGCCGCAAACCGTAAACCCTCGCAACCGACCCTGAACCCTGAACAGACTCTCAGAGTAGTTCCTTATGAAATCCGATTAGCAGCATTTCATGGAACCCCGAACCACCCAAAATCGTAGTGTTCTAAACCCACCTGTTCCAAGGAGGGACGTGTTTGGGACTCAGGATCTCTCGAAGCCTCGGCTGCTTTGCGGAGTTCTTTTTCCTGGTATTTCCTGTTTGTTGATGTTAAGAGATTCATTGCACTTGCCGCTCGCATCCTGAACCCCTTTCACATCAAGCTGGGGGCCCCCAAAGGGCAACATACACCTTAGGCCCTACTGCGACTTCTGATCCTTCAATCCGGGCCTTTGGGGTTTAGGGTTCAGGGGCTTCGGGTTTAGGCCCTTAGGGAATACATGTGAAGCATTCTGATTCATGGTCCAGGAAAGTTTGGTCACCCTCAATATTGAAACCTTTTGGGCGCGTGGGCTAAGCCGATTTCGGGGTTGAGGGTTCCGGGCGTAAGCCTGGACATGTGTCAGCTTTAGGCACTTCGGGCCTCCAGCAGTAAAGGCATGAGACGGCATGAGAATGAGACGTGGCAGCCGGTACCAAAAAGATAGCAATTCAGACCCTAAAGCCCTAGAAAGCCACAAGCTCTACAACAACACCCAGAAAATACTCCCCCAAACTTATAAACGCTGAACCTGACGGAAAAAGCCTGAGGACGATCGCTATGACCCTGCCGTGAACTCCAAAATGCCGAACCTGCTCTCGAGGCCACCATAAAAGCTTTGGTACTCATGATCCGCGCCCTTGTTCACAACTCATGGCAGCTATTGTTGAAGATTGGCAGGCGCGCGCGTGGTGGCGCTGCAAGCAGCGGGCTCTGCGGAGTCGGCTCAGGTGGCTTTTGCTGCAGGCTCTAATGTTTCGAGAGGAGGATGCGAGGGTAGTTTCACATAGTATACCATATTGCGTTCTAGTATATTACATTGGCATTACACTGTTATTATAGTCATACAGGCGACTCTGTAATTAAAGCACAGGTTATCATAGTGTGTAATTGTTTTCGTACATAGTCATAGCCTTACTTGTCGCTTTTCCGCCATCTTCAGACACTCGTGCAAGCGGCGGAGAGCTGGACGGCGCTTCGTCTTCTGAGTCTGCTGGCAGCAACTAAAGGTCTTGCAAGAGTGCCCTCACCAAGAAGTAGAAAGTCTCAGAGAGTCTGAAGGGATGCAGCCGGGGTTGGAATGTCCGATGCCAGATGCATACATTAAGGCATGCATCCTCGAGCAGGTGTGCAAAGAAGGAAACACCATCTCGATGAAATAGATATCTGGAAGGCCTACACAGAGGGCTTTGCAAGGCTCACGTTCTAGTACACGCTGCGCGCATAGTCCATGATCGCAACCCGACATTTTGCAAGCCGACTGAAACCAGGCCCAAGACACCGACGAGCCCGAAACCCCAAAACCCGCAAAACCAGGTTTTGCCCGCCTCTCGTTGTCTGCAAATACTTAAAGCCCCCAGCCGAAAACCTTGAAGCCTGCAGAGGTCTCCCCTTGAAAAGGCCCTGAAGCTTGCGCACGAGGATGGTGGCCGGGATTGGATATGCACACTCATCGCCGCGCTGTGATTGGATACGTAGAGACCCCGCGGTCTTTTGGATGGACGTTTTGCAAAGGCGTGATCTCAGAAGTTTCTATCGCAGCTTGAGTTGTGCAGGACCCTGGCAGAGCTCCTGAAGCCCTGAAGGTTGCGAAGGAGCTGGGGCTCGGGTTTAAATTGGTCAGCCAGTGCTGCAGATAAGCCTCTGTCTGATTTCATCTCTCCATCAGGCCGCTGCAACCAGGGTGTACGGTTCTGGCATGGCAGCGCCCCCAAGCCAAGTCCGATGGTGCGTCCAGTTGTGTCCTGCCGTCTCTGCCCCCTCCCCCCCCTCTAAGACCAGACCCCCCAAGACGGCATCTCTAGAGTCTCAAGCGTCTCAGCGGGTGATGAAGTAGTCGATCTGTACGTTTAGGCTCGGCGCGTCCAAGTATTGAGCACCGTGAGGCGGTGTTTGTGAAGAACATTGTTATTCTGATAAACGGCTGACTTGTTCCCCCCGGATGAATCCCATGACCAGCTAGACCACTGCGAGTCTCGAGGACCGTGTTAAGACTTCAGCAAGGATGAGCTCCGAGCGCAGCAGCAGCGAATCAAGCAACTCGCGCAGCCTCTGCCAAACTCTGGTCCGTTATTGGACCAGTTCCCGCGTTTGCTCAACGGTTTTGGTACGCCATGCATGTTGGTAGATGTTTACACGGTCAGCCGACTGCCTGCCGAAATGGCATCGAACTTGGGTGAGTCGTCCCGGTATGATCTCTTTCCAGGAAAGACTTCCTTCACTCCGGACCTCCGTGCGAATGGCTGTGAGCACTCTTCCATGTCGCGGCTTAGGAGCAGCTGAATGAAAGAGAAACCAGCCATCTTGTTTCCACTCATTTGTAAATCTTCAATGCGTTTCTTGCAACAGAAAGGCGCTGATATGCCGTTCGCGATTTGAGCCGCAGAAACAGCTCGGCCTTGAGCTCACTGCTGAAACCACTAGTATTCCAAGTGAAAATCTCTAATCGCTTGCCACGAATAGAAGCAGGAGTAGGCTTGGGCGGGAGTGGCACAAACTCGCGCTTGACGCTGATGTAGCACCCTCGATCCAAGCAAATCCATCACGAACCGCCCTGGCAAGAGCAAGACTTGTCCTTCTTTATGGGCAACAATCCCTTTTCCTTCGTCACGTCCGTGACTTCAGGTGCCGCTGAGAGCAAGACACCAACCCTCACGCCAATGGGTGTACTGGCTCCTCCTTTGAGCCCCCATTCTGATTCCCGTTCCCGGACGAGCTACCGCCTCGTGCGTCTTGTTCAATGTTTGCAGGGTAGGCTTCAACATAGAAGGCAGGCCATGCGTGGGAAACATACTCCGAGGCTGTGTTACATGGGGTGGTCCCTAAACCATGGAAAAGCAATACAACTGTATGTCCATCCAAATCAATTGCAGGGCAAAAGGCTCAACCAATTCGGATGGTGGTTAGCACAGAAAGCCTGCGCTCGGATCCTGCAGCCAGTGCGGACAGCTCGACTACGTCCTCAATAATAGTTTGCGCTCCAGGCGGGGACCAGTATACAGGCCTGCAGAAGTACGACAATGCGCCGCACTCTGCGACTGTCTGGGTGCAGATCGTCGAGCAGAATGTCAATGGCAGCGGCTTTGAGATGAGCAGTCGGACTAAGTCGGAGCACGTAGTAGCAGTTGTAGTTGCAGTGCTGTAGCAAAGGAAGTCGTAGTCGTCTTGGTCGTGGTAGTGGGGTAGTTTGGGGGAACGGTTTTGTGAACCGCTTTTTTGCGCACTCTCCAAGTCCTGAACCTTGGGATCCCGAAGCTGCAAAACATCCGGAAACCCGAACCCACAGGAGCTCATGGCCATGCGACGCGCCTCGATCTTCACAGTTCTGGAGGGGTTGGGTTGAAGAGTTTTGGGCTGTGAGCGTTGGGGGGGGCAGGTCTTGGGGTTTGGGTTTGGTAGTTCACAATCATGTCATGTGTGTGTATAGTGTCCTGGGGTTCGGGCTGTGGCGTCAAGTTCCCCAACATACTCGTACGTTCTTCAACGGGTTCGGGTTTTTGAGGGTAATGGCGGGCTCAATCAAGGCCAGGGTCGCTATGCTTCGCGCTGACCTGGTCATAGCACAATAAAACGTGGCAAGGCTTACCACTATGCAGCCTGGAATGGTTGTTCTCCTGATGACGCCTTCAACATGCAATGGACTCCTTCGACACCCACTGCCTGCTGACAGGTGTAATTGTCAAAATCTCTTGCAATGAACCCTGATTCTTCACACCCTCAACCCAAAAATGCACCAGGTTGCTGGGGCAAAAAAACGCAGGGATAGTTTGGAGTTTAATCAGTGTCGTCAAGTGCCAGAGAAAAGCTTGAACCCTAAACCCGAAGCTCCAAAACGCCTTGAGCGAGCGAGTTCAAACCGTAAAATCCCTTAACCGTAGTCCCTTCACTCGGAGATGGCACCAAGCGCGTTGGGTCCAGTTTGAAGGTGCTGGACATAGTCATTCCAGGGACTCCAGCAGCCTGAGGGTTTGAAGAGCTCTGCAGCCCCGATACCCGGCTTTAAGCCCCGAACCCTAAATTCTGTAACGAAGGTCCGAAAAAAAACAAAGCTGCAAGGCTCTAAAGCCCTACAGTCTACACTCCTGTTAACCCTAAACCTTGACTTGAAATCCTAGGAAGCCCAGCCCTCCTATAAACCCCACCCTGAAACAAAGAGCAAGGAACCCTAAACCTTAAACTCCTGATGCCTCGCCTGGATTGTCCGAGTGTGAGCGCCGAAACTCCTGTAGCTTTTTTAAACCCTGCCCTTCAAAAAACCTAGGAGCCCACTTAAACTCCAAAAGCCAACCGATGAACCCCCCCTAAACCCTAAACCCAAAAACCCTAAACCCCTCAACCCCTAAACCCTCAAACAACCTGAACATGAGGAGATCGCAGTCAGAATGCGTCCAAGCAGCAAGCCCCTCCAGCTGCAAAGTGGGGGTTGAGGGTTTTCGGCTTGAGGGTTTGGGGTTGAGGGTTTAGGCTTTGCAGTTGAGGATTGATTTAGGTTTGAGGATTCAGGGTTTACGGCAGAAAGGGTTGCACAGTAGTATTTAGACCCCCGAAACTAGATCCTAGAAGCTAGATCCTAGCGCCTTTGAGCGTTGTTGCACGGCCGTTGCCACTCTTCCGGCAGGGTTTTGCTGCGAAAACATGTAGAAACCAGAATCGCTGCCGCTTTCCTTGACGTTTGTAACGTAGGAACATAACTAAGCAACCCTTGGTCTTTTCTTGGGTACGGGGGCCAGGGTTTCTTGATCAGCAGCCTGCATTACATGACATCGTAAACCCCGTCACCGTGCAACGTATCTCCCAGTACCACGTCGAGGCATCGTTTCTTCACACTGCACGTGAGGATAAGCATACAAGTGGGAACAGCCAAGGGAGGCACGTATGTTGCTGGTTGACGCGGCAGCTCCGTTAAAGATACGATGGATGGGTTCACTTCTAGAGTTCTAGAGGCATGATTGACCATGTGGTTGGAGCTATGAGAATGCATTCGGGCTTTGTCCATATGTTTCTGGAGCGTTGTTCCGCTTTGCATTCCAGTGACTCTCGCAGACATGTTACCGAGGATTTGGCATAAAGGCCGCTCCAGCCAGCGACCCTTCGACGGTTTCGCAGCATCAGAACACATGATGAAAGCTCCTGTAGCAGCGAGCTTCTTTGGTTGGGTGCTTTGTCGGATGCAGAGAGGGCTCCGAGGTGCCTTGGGCCAAGACTATAGAGTTTAAGGTTCTGCCTATAGTCTACATTGCAGTCCTTTCATTGGGTTTAACCAAATCTGTATTTTAGGATCCTAACCACAAAAAAGAGTAACGAAACAGAGGAACCACACTGGAGACTATAGGTGCATATAGGTTGTGTCTTTTGGGTTGTATGACATCACAATGTCTCGGAGCACGATTCTGCACATGGACGGCACCAAACACTGATTTTAGGTCCGACCTGGAAGTAAATAGCAGAAGCAAGTCCACAGCCTTGTGGCCTGAGGGTTCGGGGGTACAGAACCTCTCAAGGGCCACGGCGTGCCAACGCTCTCAGATTGAGGGGCAGAGCGCCAGAAGACGACTTTGCCCGCCTGCAGGTTGTGCTGAAGCACCCTTTTAAGCTGTAGGGCTTCTAAGGTGTAGGAACTTTAGCAGCAGCACTCTGTGGTCAAGATGAAGCTAAAGACTGGTCCTGCGGGCATGGGCACGGGACGTCTTCTTGCGCATGAGTTTCAGCCTATATTGCGCGGCTCCGCCGCAAATTGGAGGACATTGTTACGTTGTCCTTGCACAGCTGGCGACGAGGCACACGAATTCAGATGTGCGACGAGAATCAAAAGCAACTGCAGTGTGCTTCGGCCTGAGCCTTAAAAGCCCTGGGCCAATGCTCGGGGTGCTCAGGCTTAGGGATCAGCGTTGCAGGCAGGGACTTGTTGGATGTGTTGGGTTCAGGCTTAGAGCGAACTGAAGGCTTTTGGTCGGCCTCCCACGCCGAATGAACACACTAGCCCAACGCATTGAATTGCTGCGAATTTCTGTGTGCACAGAAGGTGGCAAGAAGGAGAAACAGACGGGTTTGGGGGATGACTGCTAGCCCAGACCCAAAAACACTACAAAGCCATGATCGCATAGTTGCGTGCAATCTAGATACAAAATCGGACAGCTCCTTGCATGCATGGGAAACTGGCGCGCGAAGTTCTGGAACCAGGCTCGAGCATGGCTGTGAGTGTTGCTGCTTTCAAATGTTAGGGGTTTAAGGTTAGGGATTAGGCAAGCTATGCTCGGGAGGCCAATGCCCTGTGCGATGATGATCTGCTACTTTTGGCTGGAAGCTCAACCACCGGCATGTTGTGCAAGTGGTCACTTTATCTCGGGTCGCACGTTGTCTTACACGTCAATCGGCGACCAGCATGGGGGAAAACAGTTTTCAGCGCGTATCTTATGTTGTAACGAAGTGGGTTTGTTTGCTGTTTGGACAGCCTCTACATGCCATTCCGGCATGTTGGGGGCAGCGAATGGGTTGGCGCCTCGTTTGCCAGCAGTAGAGTTGCAGCTTCCAGCGTCTACGTCGGGAATGGCTGACTTTGATTAGCTGTTTGCTGCGAGCTGCGATGCCACTGATGTGTTTCTTGAGCTGGTGCTTGCAAAATCGAGCGTCTACATAGGGAATGGCTGATTTTGGTGGCTATCGAAAGCAGCTGTGGTTATCGAACAGGAGTCTCGGTCACACTATTTGGTCGGCAATCAGCACATCCCCCACAAAAAAGCACGCTGGATTGTATTGAAAACTACTTGAGAAACCCCAAAGTCCGCGACATGTACTGGCAACTGAGCTTACTTCACCGGGAAATTCCCGAGTTAGTTGATGTTCTAGCGCCTACATGGTGAGCAGCTTCTGACACAATGTTAAAATACTATAAACAGCATGCTGACACGCTCGCGTCCGCAGCAAATTTGGCATCTTGACGCATGTTCGCTGCCTACCTAAATGGTCCCAGGCGCCTACAAGACCTGGTGACTTGCGGCATGCGGTGTTCGTTTTCCGTGGGTTTTCAGCACTTCCTCTTCTGAAACACGAGGCCAAGCTGAAAAGCGGTGAATGAGGCAAAGCAAAGGCTAGTGTCTAAACATCCAATAAAACTGTGTTTTGTGCACACGTGCGCATATTTTGGCTAAACATCTGGATTGCAGCATAAGGAGCTGCACTAGGAAATCTCAGCCAGGGTTAGTAGTAGTGGTATTAGTAGCAGTAGTAGTGGTAGCAATAATTATGGCTTTTTAAAAGTACCAACCTCAATAATCGTAATAATTCTAGTAATAGTAATAACAATAGTAAAAATAGCAACAATAATAGTAGTAGTGGCACGCGCTCTGCTTGCATTTGGTTTCTGTGCATGAAGGCAAAGACATGGCAGGCACGACGTTTCAGCAGATGAGCAGTTTCCTGACCCGAGCGCCCTGAAACGCGGCTTCTTGAGGCTATCAGGTCAAGACTGTAGGACGCCTCAAGCGAAGCATGAATGCCGTCTGTAAGGTTTGGGCATGGATGCTGTGTTCTCAAACACACTAGACTACGGACGTCATTAGGCTTTGGGCATGGATGCTCTGTTCTCAAGTGCATTAGACCATGGACATCAGCAGGTTTTGGGCATGGATGCTCGGTTCTCGAACGCACTAGACCACGCACGTTATTAAGTTTTTGTGCATGGATGCTCTGCGCTCAAACGCACTGGAGATGACTATCAATAGCACGGTTATCACCATCATTTTGAGTATCACTATGAGTATCGCCGGCAGCAGTGTGATAATCGACCCCACTATCAGTATCATGTGATGAATATCACCATCATCACCATCATCACCTGGAGCAGCACGGCGACGAGATGCACCTGCAGAGGACGGAAACTACCAGGTTCTTTAGGTGCCTGTATTTCCGTTTCGTAGCGTCCAGCATGGGCTGTCGTGTAGTCTCGCGGCCTGACTTGAGATACTCCCAGGACTGTAGTGCAGCGCAGCCAGACAGCATGCGCAAAACTGGTGTTCGCTAAGATCCAACATTTGGAGCAGCAGCTCGCCAAGGAGGCCTGGCCACTGCATCTGTGTAGTGATGGCATCTGTTGGCAGTCGATCTCTTCAGCCTCGCACGGTTGCTGAGATCTTCAGCCTTTAGTTCTCCATCTAGGGGATGTTCAGCCTGACAGGCTTTATCCTTCTGAATTACCATGAAACCGGGCCTTCGAGATCCTGCGGGCCAAAGAGCTGTTTTTGGCAAGCATTGTTGACGATGAATCCCTTGCGGTTGTAGGTTTGGGCATATGGAAGTTTTTGCAAAGCAGGGGTGTGCAGGTGTATGAATTTGATTCGCCCAAATCCCCAAAACCTCAACCATGGGACCTTGTGGGCTTGCGGATCGAGAGCTAGGGCTCTGTGGCACTCAGAACTCTTTAGCCTGGGTCCTGAGAGTTCTTTAATGGCACATTCAATGCTCACAATGCCAAGCCGACCTGGGACACGAAGCATATGTCATGTGTAGAACCTGTAAAGGACCCCTTGGCAGCCCCGAAAGAATCTCCACAGCCCGGGATCCCCCCGTCTCCGCTCCCAGATGAGTGCAGGGTTGTGGGTTTCATATGTTATTGCATCTTTCGTTGCGGTCTGCACCATTATTGTAGATCTGTTCTGTTTATGAATCGAGCAGATTGGAGATTGGTGGTTCAATCCTGTCTTGTTGCGGCTTCGAAGAATCGTCAGAGGCCGCTGACTGTGCGGTGGGTGAGCTCAACAACAGCAGCTTGTCTCGCCAGCTGCCGCCCTAAATTTCTCGACGCTGAGGCCCAATCCCAAATCCCAAGACAGGCTTACTCAAATACCCTGAACTTCTCTCTGGGCCTGGGCTTCGTGCCGAGAGCTTGGGGAATTTCCCGTTTATGCCGCGGTTGTAGGAATCACGGTTGAATTACTACAGGTCTCAGTTCTCGGAATCGGGGCTTATTCAGAGGGCGTCGGGGCAGAGCGGATCTTTTCGGGTCTGGGTTTCGGCTATGGGCTGGAACGCTTTGACAACCCCCGTGAGACAGCTGTGTTGCTTACAAGCAAGAGCAGAACCCTGGAGCCCCAAACCGCTGTCATGCTTTCAGTAACAACAGTGGTTTTTCTATGAATCCAGTACCTCTTGTTATCTCTTGTAAGATTCTCAGTAATTCCAGATGATATAGACACCTCTGATCACCTCCTATCAGGCGTATCAACACTTCATTGAGTTGGATGCAGCACAGTACGAAAAATGGTAGCCATACTCATTCTGCAGGTCACATACTGATTCTCCCCAAGCCTAGGGCCTAGAGCCCAGGTATTACGGAGGACGAGTTTGAGGATCGGGACTTGAAGGGGTTTAGGGTTCAGGGCTCGCAAAGTTCAGAGTTTCGGGTTTACAGGTTCATGGGTTTAGGGGATGGGGGTTTTAGGGGTCCATGGATTCAGGGTGGCACCCCTGTGAGAGGTGTTCAGGGTTTAGTTTGGATTGAATTGAAGCCCCAAATCCAGACCCGCAGAAAAATTTCGAGCCCGAAAGACGCATTCGAACAGAACCCATCTGCAACCTTTCTAAAATCAGAACCAACCCTCGTCGTACCTTTGTGCGGGAAGGGGCAAGATCTTAAGATTCGACCGCTTTGCACAACCCGAAAAACACCCTAAACCATAAACCGTGAGCTGATTGGCGAGGCGAGCAGAACATTCCCAATTATGGCCTCTGACAAATTCGGGTTTACGGGGTTAGGGGTAGGGTCTAGGGTTTGGGGCTAGGGTTTTAGGATAATTTTTGATGTATCTCCTTTTGTAGTCATCTTGTATCCATACCATGACATAGCCTACTAACGAAACGCTGTCGCAAGACGGAGCAGTAGCCCTCGGTCTCGGTCGGGAACTGTCGTATACTGCTCCTGCTGCTCCCACTCCTAGTCCTACTCCTACTACTACTTCCTACTCCTATCCCTACTCCTACCCCTTCCGATTCCTACTATTACTACTACGACTCAACCCATGCTATAAACTCTTAGCGCCCTGCATCATTCAAGATTTGCGCCACCAGGTGTGC